GAGGGCAGCTGAGAGGCAGGAAGAAGAGATGTGAGGGTCCACCCCTCCTAGGGCCTCCGTTCCCTCATCTGCCCAAAGCGGGCCTGGACAGTCACTTCCTCTCGAGGGGCTGCAGGTGCCCAGTCACTTCATTTTACTAAAGGGCCTGGTGCCACCCGTGGTGGATGGGCAGAGCGGAAGCCACGGAATAAGCGCTGCTCCTCCCACCGCCGTGGTCATCCGAGGGGCCAGGCTTGGAAGCAGGGAGGGAAAGAGAAGGGAGTTGGTCCCACTTGTGCCCACAGCCACTGCAGTGGCCCCCGCTGCCCACTCTTCTGTGTCTCTCACACACACGCAGGGGCCGTGGAAAACTTGAAGGATGAGGACCCCCCCCCACACACACACATCCCAATTTCAACTCTGACTCCTCCCCTTCACCAGGGCCATGAAGGGGTTTCACTCCATCAGGTGGGTTTAGCTTCACTAAGTCCACCTGTCTCCTCTGTGGCCAGGGAGTGAGTGTTCTGGTGGAGGGAGAAGACAGGGTACCTCACAGGAGTGGAGGCAGGGCAGGGGAGCTGACGGAGCACAGTAGAAGGTTGGTTGTGGCCACCGAGGCTCAGCTCCCCAGCATGGTGTTTCCCAGGCAGGCGGGCTGGGGTCTGTCTTCCTTCCTCGGCCTCCACCCTTCTTAGCTTCAGAGTGCCCTGGTTTGGACCCGGCCCACCTTGGCTGGGCTGCTCGGGCCCCTGGCCCGCTCTCTCTAGGCTTCCGCTCCATCTGCCTCTGTGGAACGGTTCAGGGAATCCACCTGCCTGCACAGAGTCTGGGTGAGGCCCAAACGGACAGGCCTCTTTCCCCTTCACCCACTTGTCTTCTTTCTTGCCAGGGAGTCCCAGACTGAGGGCTGGCTGAGAAGTGCCCTGGGCCAGGGCTGAGCAGGGTGCTGCAGGGAACCATGCCTCTGGCTTCCCCGAAATCGGGGAGGTTATGGCCTGGACTCACCCCCCCTCTGTGACCACTACTACAGCCAAAAGCCAAGGGGAAGCTGTCCTGGGGTCACCTGCAAACTGCCATTCCCAAGTCCTGCCCATGCTGGGGGACCAGGCCGTTAGTGACAAGCTGCTCCGGGAAGGATTAGTAACTTCCTGCAGCTGAGCTGGCTTGACTCCTGTGGGGCAGGCCATCTGCTCCGGGCAGAGTGGCCAAGGGACCGGCAGGCAGCAGGCGGGCCGAAGCCGCAGGGTGGGGGCCTGCTGGTGCCCGGTTTGGGAGGAAGGCTGGGAGCTGGCAAAGGCAAGAACAGGAACAACTGTGCCCCCGCCCCACCCCCCTAACCCCAGCTGGACACACCCTGGGCCCCCTTTGCAGAGCTTGACAGATGGGATCTCCCTCATAAATGATAGCCGAAGCAACCCTTTCTCACCAGTCTATCCATTTGTCGCACTGTGGGGGCCCGTGTGGCTGTGATGCTGGAAGCTATGCCTCAAGTATTTCAAACACCAGCCGAGGCGCCCAGGGTGGGTACGTTCCAATGAGCTTCCAGATTAAGACAGTCTAGGAAAGACCTGGTGATCTACTTCCAAAGCCAACGAGATCCCTATGCATGACACGGAAGATTGCTGTTGGATAGAGTGCTTGAAGGGGCCCTGGCGGCGTAGGTAGGGGTTACGGGCTGGGCTGCGATCTCCACCATCGGCAGTTCCAAACCACCGGCAGCTCCGAGGGAGAAAGGCTGGACTTTCTACTCCTGCCAACAGTTACCATCTTGGGAAACCCAAAGGGGTTGGCTAAGAGTCGGCGTTGGCTTGGCTTTATAGTGCTGGAGGGTGAGGGAGTCCCTTCGCTTGGAAGGCACGTGGCTGCACAGTGGCCACAGCAATGGATTTGAGCATGCTGGCCCTTGTGAGGACGGGGACTGACCAAGGCTCCCTTCTGCTGAACATGGTTGCCCTCAATGGCAGCCAATGTGATGGCAACTGACCGCCATCCCCACCAACACTTCTGAGCTCTCTCTTTGTGCTTGGCACTGGGCAGCTCATTTAAGCTTCCTAACCTGCCGGCAGGAGAAAGGACTATGATAATCCCTTTACCTGAGGAAACGAGGGACAGAGAAGTGATTCACTTGTCCAATTCCTACCATCCAGGCAGGATATTTCATTCTGTGCACCTCTCCCAGGACAAAGCCTACATGTCCCAGCCTCCCTGGCTGCTAGGCATGACCACATGCCCGAGACTGACCAATAGGAAGGGAACAGCAGTGCTCCGCGCACCATTTGGTCAAGGGCTTGTCCTGCCTAGTCCTCTCCTCTTCCCAGCAGCTGGGACGGGCACTGAGCATGGTTCCACGGGGGACCATGTGGAAAAGGCAACATTGGAAACTCCAGAAAAACAAACCTTTTTTCTGGGAAGTCACTATCATTGTGACTATTACATCACTATGATGTCGCAGGGGCCTGACCTACGCCTTGGCTAGCAATCTGGAGTTCGCCTCTCACCAGGCTCCCGAGGGACTTCATGGCACATGGACGAGAGACTTGCCCCGTGGTGAATCACAGGTCCCCACAGAGGGCTGGGCCCCTGCTGCCCCTGCCCCTGTAGCAACGCTGACTGCCTTGCCCCAGGCGCCTCTGGGCCCTCTGGGAGCTCGCTCCCAGGTTTAATTGCTCTGAGGATCCCAGAGGCTTCTCGATCTTTGCTCCATTTCCCCAGCGAGATCATGTAGGGCTGATTTACACAATGCCTATTCTGGGCCAGAGAGGGAAGGAAGCAGGAAAGGGCAGGCCCTTAGTGTGAACCAGTCAGCTGTCGTGCGGGAGGGGAGGCTCCAGGGCCAGCAAACCTGGGCGGGGCGCACTCCTCCTGGAGCCTGGCTGAGCCCCCTTTCTGCCCAGTGCTCCCGGATAGGCTCCGCTAGATGACAGGGACGCCCCATGCAGACCCGGTCACAGCGACCTTAGTCTTTCGGGAGCCTGACACACCTAATCGCCCCCAAAATCCTTTGGGTGTGCATTCCAGAAATGTGTCCAGTTAGGAGCCGGATGAGCTGCCCTCACGGGGCAAGCCCAAGACCACGGCACTGATCAGGACAGGAAAAGATGCTCAGCTATCACCGAGGAGATGAGAGCGCCCGTCACAGCCACAGCTGCCGGGCTGTGCGGTCGCTTCCGACTCCTTTCTACCACGGAGGACCGAGTCGAGATGCCCCCACAGAGATGCCTGGGCTGTGATCTGTACGAAATTGCATCTCCAGGCCTCTTCCTCTAAGGAACTGAAATGACAGAGCTCCCAGGCCACCAGTGGAGTGCATAAGCATGACACCACGAGGCTAGAACAGACGAACCACAAATAACGAGCATTAGGATGCGGAGAGCCGATGCCATCAGCTTGCTTACATGACTGTTTCATTGTGAATTACGTGGGGGTATACACGGCAGTCGCTTTGAAAAACAATGTGGCGATTCTTCAATAAATGAAAGAGTTACTACCTCACCCAATAAGTCTACTCCGAGAGTATTGAAAACAGGTAAACAAAAACTTGCACACAAATAACAGCACTATGTACGATAGCCAAAAGGTGGACACAAGCCAAAGATGCATTAATGGATAGATAAGCAACATATGGTACACACATACAGTATCTTACAAAGAAATGAAGCGGATGAACCTTGAAAATGCCATGCTGAATGAGTAGCCAATCACAGAAGGCGCCAGGCTATCTGGCTTCATGTGTGTGAAATATGCAGATGCAGCAAATCCACAAAGACGAACACTGGATTACTGCTGAGTGTGGGGGACTGGGAGGAGCAGAGAGAAATGGCTACATGCACGTGGGGCTTTCTCTCAAGGTCATGACTGTTTGGGAAATGGAAGAAGGTCATGGCTGCTCAACAATGAGAATGTACATTCGGCCCGGTAAACATCTACTTCACAGTTGATTTTGTGTTCTAGGTAGCCTGGGTGGTCCAAGTGGTTTTCTAGCCGCTACTCCAAAACGTTGGTGGTTCAAATCCTCCCCAAGACAAATGGCCTGAAGATGGCAGCAAAGAACATTCCAGACTCATTCTGTTCTGTCACACGTGGACCTGTCATGAGGCAGGGTCTGACTTCCTGGGAAGAAACAGTGATCCGATGGTGTAGAGA